GGGCCTGGGGGAATGGAGGATATTCCTAAATATCACAAATTCCCACCTGAGATGAGATGGACACAAATAGCAATGGCAACTGAAACATCAACATCGACGGCGGGAGCATCGGCATCATCAGCGGGGATATCCACATCGGCGATTCCAGAGATGAGGATGGGAATTTCGGCGGCACAAAGAGATCCATCAAAACCTGTGAATAAGATGGGGCCAATAGCGGCTCCAATCTCCAAACCGCCTCCGCCTATGCCACCGCCAGAGCGATGGGCGAATGCGCCCGATAGACTTCGTGAAATATTAGAAACATTATCCAATCATGAATTGGATTGGAATAGACCTCCTGGACAAGATCTCATATTTTGGGGGCAGATCGGAAATTGCCTCTATCATCGCCACGACCTGATGAGGCAGGCCATAAAATTGGAAAAATGGTCTGAGCCTGACATCCCAAGGCTCAACCTGTCCCTGACCATTGGACGAATGCGCCTGCGGGTGCACCGTATTACATTGCGGCACCTGGAGGAGATTCAAGTGGCAACGGCGCAACAATCCCTTCAACGATTGAGACAACAAAGGCCCAAGATGGAAGCAATACAAGCGATTAATCGATGATTGCCCCAATGATCCGCAGCGGCTGTGCCCAAGGCACGGCAGGTGATCGTGGCAAAATGGTATTGGTTGCGGTGGAAACCATATTGCCGCCGCAACATACCATGCATTGCAAGAAACGGATGAACCACCACAGATTAATGGGTGGGATATCGTCGGGACGCGAGACATCCGAAGAAAGCCGTCAGACTCGGACTACAGCGACGGCTACGAAGTATGAGGGTCTTAAGTTTGTGCCAAGAGCTTTTTTATATGGAATGAAATCCATATGAAAGACCGCAATGGCAATGCGCCGACGAAATCCAATTTTTAATTTGACTTTGCAGATTTGAAAATCAAAGGAGAAATGCATCCATAGGAAACCCTATGATATTTGCATTCATGTTTTGCAATTGAAGTCATGCCATAAAGGTATAAAGGTAACACTATATCATATATACGAAAACCCTTTTTGTGTTCGAAAAAACTATTCCGTTCATGCAAAATTAACTACAATACAATATAATAAATTCCTAAAGAAAACAAAAAATTCTTAATAATAAAAATATATATTCATTTATTTATATAAATATATTGGAAAACAACTTATTTATATAACTATTTCTTTTATCTATATACAATATTTAAATAGATATTTCAATTATAACAAAAATATAAACTATAACTAAATATCAATTATATTATCAATATAAATTAACTAGTATATATTATCAATATAATTGGAAATAACATAAAATACCATATACATTACATTTCATAAATTCAATACTATAATATATATAAAATTATATCCTTTCATTGACATTAATCAAATTCAATTAAACAAAAATGGATTTATAATCTAAATTAAACACATATTTTGTATTTCACTTCTAAGGGAGAGTTCTCCGCCCGTGGTGGGCTACAACCTTATCGGTCAACTGCGTCTAGTGCATCTGGCGCCCAGGCGGCATAGCGAAGAACGATGGTTGATCAGCCAGGTGCAGTCAAAGGCACAAAAGGATTGGAATTGGTCTCTACAATCCGGCGCCAGGCTGCAGTGAGATGGTCGTGAGCCACAAGCCAGATCAAATACAACTCTTCATCCATATCAGGCACATGTGGACAGGGCATGAGTCGAATGCAATCTTCGGTGATGTGTCGAGTCCCGGTGGAGCGAATGAAGCACGGCAATCGAATGGGAATTCTGTTCCAACGAATGGGGTGTTTAGAGCGCTCACCCAGAGCTGGAAACCGATTCACTTGCAAGCAAAATGTCGTGATTGAAGCATCAAAGCCGTAATGAACAGGATCTTAATCATGCCAAAGCTTGAGAAGGTCTTGCAATGTGCACTCACCCATCTTTTCACGGCGCAAGAACATTGGTGCATACATATGACCGAAATCTTCGGTCGTATCCTCAAGCCTAGCCTCCCATCGCGGAGAGGAGCCGGAATGATCCCAGGATCTATGATGCATTACATGTCTGCTCCAACCCCCAAACTCGGCTGCATCATGCTGGTGCCCCACAACATGTGACGAAAATCATGGTTCCAAAAGTGAGCCAAGACCGGTGGGATCCGTGAGCCACTGCATGGTGGAACCTCGGTGGAGCAAGTTCAATAAAGATTGCTTCCAAGTACCAATCTCCTGCCAATCAAATTTGTCATTCATACAACAAGACCACAATTCTGCCAGCAAAAATGAATTGACATAGCATTCATTGCCATCATTTCCCAGAACCAGGGTCAACAGGGCGGCTCTCATCGCTTCAGGCGTGATGCAATGGCCTAAGCCAAGGGAGAGTGCTGGAGATTCGAAGGTCGGATGCGAACCAGGACCAACTGTGTTAATCCATTCCCTGTGAGGTGCGCCATCGCATCGTGAAGCTCCTGAACCGCTGTCGCCGCTGTCCCACGTAAAGACAGGTCCAGCTGCCACGGCACTACCACGGCTGCATCCTTAGAGATCTGCTGCTCCTGTGGCATGGGCTTGAGCGCCCGAAAAGCGATGGATGAGATCCGGCTAATCGGCCAACTTGTGAACCTTCTGGATCAATGCTGAGGCGGCCTCCGAAGAAATCGGGTCTCGATTGGAGGCCTTGACATTCTTGGCATGAGAATCCCATTGTATGTAATTCCACCTATTTGTGGATGTCAAGATCTGCTTCGTCTGTAAGGCCTAGATCAATTCGTGGTCGTTTGAATCGAAAGGTAGTTTCGTTGCCCGACCTGCAACCTCCTCGATCACCGTTTTGAATATGAGTTGTCGGAGCGACGTCGTAATTGCCCCCTGTTCCCTCTTAATATACCAATCCTTCAAGACCTGTAACATCTGTGGAAGTATGGAGCCTTTTCCGGCCTGAATAAAGAAGATGAAGGTGCGGTCTAGATTCAATTGATTCAGCTGATCCTCCTGGCGGAGGGGGAATTTGGCCAATATGGTCATCAAGCTGCTGCCTTCGTCCAAGTCCGAATCCAATGAGCGCGAATGTTTCCTCTATCCCTTTCGGGTATGTCGAGGCTCTAATAAACATTCCTCGGTATCCATCCTAGGCCGGCAAAAAATTAATCTTCGGCGCTCATACACTCCATTTCGAAGACCCAATACACTGCACACATGAAACCAATCTTAGGCCATGATACGTTCAAATTCATAAAACAACATTTAGAAAAAAAATCATACAAAATCCATAGTATAGAATGAAATTCAATCAAATCAAATCTAAATAATTGTTGGTGTGCTAAGTGCCAAACCCAATAAATAGATCTCACTTTCTGGCAAAAATACAAGAGCTAAAAATACGCAATAATTTCAAGAACAATTTATAACAAATAGATAAGGGAAAATAAATATTTAGTAAAATCAATATACCAACGGAATTTAAAATCAAATTTTAAATTAAAATTTGCGGAGATCTATATAAAATCCAATAATTGCCGAATAAAAATCCTCAAAATAAATATCCAAAGCGAAATATCTTTCGGAAATATAAAACCAAATAATATCAATAGAAATACATATATTCCATTCACAATTAAACGAATATTTTCGACCTTAAATAACAATTCGCTACCAAAAGCAATTATAAACAAAACCGACCCAAAATATTATTTTATAAATCATTCTATCAATAAAATCAATCAACTAACTCTTTAATAATACAATCGAAAAACGACCTCGATTAAAACGTTATTAAATTAATATATACAAATTAAATAACCATTTATATCATATATACCTATTATTTATATCATTATTTTTTACATATATCTATAATCAATTAAATAATTTATATATCTTTATTTTCATATACTTAACAATTAGTATTACAATTATCTATATTATTACGCTAAAAAAATATATATAATCAATTAAATATATATATATATATTTTTATATTACATTTAATAATCAAAAAAATTTTCATAAAACAACGATTAATATATAATAAATTCATCAAAAATATATCTAAATTATTCATTGTAATTTTAAATATACATCATAATATATATTATTTCCGTTTTCAACGCAATATATATGGTGGTTAATCAATATTATTTCATCCTGGAATGGCCATTCTTCGTGAAAAAAAAAAAAAAAAATATCTTTTACGGATCTTTCGCGGCCTCATCGCGAAGCATAGTCCTACAACCATGTCTAGCTAACATGAGCCGGAACATGTTATAGTATCACAAAATAGAGACAGACATCTTGCAGCATGACCACAGTAGAAGATTAAGTGTTTCCCCAACTACTCAGGGTCACTTGCAACATCTGTGGCGCAACTCAGCCCAATCCTCGTGCCAGCTACCGACACAGGGTAATGCAGCTTGGGGAATGTTAAGGGGTCTCAAGCTAGGAACCTGGACTTTAGCGGCACATTCGCGAAACTTCACTAGCGCTTTCCCGGGGAAGCCGTATGCAAACATCTGCACAGCCCGTCAGAGCAGCTACAGGTCGTTGCCTCACTGTCAGGGCTGCGCCTACTCAGGTTACTTGTCTATGACAGTGAGGACAGGAATCGGAGAATCCTTTACGCACTGAAGGCTTCAATTCGTTAGTCTGTAACATATGGGGACACTTCCGCCCACCGACTCTGCCGGAAGATTGCCTTATATTTCTATTCTTTGTCATCCCTTAGAAAGGAAAACGTATGAAAGCGATGACCTTCGATAAATCTTTCGCGGAAAAAGACAGATACTTTCGCGAACCTCATCGCGAATCTTTCGCGGATAGTTCTAACAACATCTGAAAGGCTGTTTTATATAAAACTCCTTACACGGGGTTTTCGATCAACTCCCATATATATTATATCTAAATTTATAGATATTCAATCAACATAACATATTTTGATTATATTTATGATTTATAAATAGACATATTTTTGTTTCAAACTAAACAATATTTTCTTAATCCAATTGATGCATAAAATCCTATAATTGCACAATTTTCAGAATCTGAATCGCCTTTCTACCAAAGTTGAATTTGAAGATCATGCGAAATTGGCAATGGTTCTTTCAATTCAATCCAAGCGGTCCTGGAACGCATCCTCAATATCGAGCTTCTCTGCAACCTTGGGTGCCTGACCGGATTGTGGTGACTCAAACTTAGAGCCACGAGTGCTTGGGGAGACGTTGCCACAACTTTTCAAACTGCGACTGTACAAAATCCGGGCTGTGAATGCAAGGCAGCCTCTGTTCACAAGGGTGGTCTGAAAGGATCTGTCTTTAGTGACATGGCATAGGTTTTCGCTACATAAAACAAGTTGCAAACAAGTCGAAAAAACACACCGGCAGTGGATTTTTGCTTCATGTCAGCGACCGGCTGCTGCCAATACCCCCAACCTCTCTGAGAAGGACCTTCTTCCGATTCTCCTCAAGGCAAGATCTAAAATCAAATGAACTGCCACACAGAGTGCAGATCTATAGGAAGTAAGGCTATTCTGGAATCTGTATGACAGCTCCGGAAGCGGCTCCTGGCTCAAGGAAGCAGACGATGCCTGCAAGACTCCACCAGCCACCTGCGCAGGCACCAGGCCGATGGCACGAGAAAGGCCCAATTAGGCCCGAAAAAAGAGGCACACAGAAGGCTTCTCCTATCTATTTCTATCTTCTATCATATCTGAGCTTCTATCTCCTCTTTTTCTACTCAGAATCACAGAGAATCACCACATGGAAGTCCGAAAAAGTCCGACACTTCTGTCTGAAACATTTCCAACCGCGATGTGGTTCCATCCGATTCTTCTGTCTCTTCCGTATCTTGGGGACCAGCACCTGTGAGGGCTTCTTCGTGCGAAGGGTCGTTGGCATGAAGCGTGTCGCCTTGGAGTTCAGCGCGAGCGCGAGCTTCTAGTGTGCAGCACGACAAACGACGCCCTGCCTCCCAGCCAACGCTCGCTATTAGCTTCTTGCTAGCTAGGTTGGAGGCCATGCATGGCTTTTCACTTTGGCTCCCAACGGCAGCAATCTGTGGGGCGCCTGACAAAGGAAGACACATTGTCAAAAGGTGGCAGATCAAATTTCACCGACGTAGCCTGTGCTCGAGTACCTCTTCCGCGCAATCTTGAAAATGGTGCCACAAGCTCTCAATGGTCTCTGTCCGGAAGCCCGGACGCTCTTGCAGTGCTCAGATCGCACGTTTTGGGCGCGAAAGAATCGCATGGCACCGTCTCATCCCCATCTCCTGGCGGTCTCCGTCGGTTCAGGGAGCGGTCTTTTTCGAAAAAAAAGAAGAAAAACGGAAGGCAATCCACTCGAAGTTTTGTACACTCTCTGGAACTAACATGGAAGTGGAGAATGACATCCGACCCCTTGGACGACTATGAAATCCACTACAAACAGGTGGTTTTCCACTTCCATGTTAGTTCTGGGGAGAGTGATTAGCTTTTATTAGTTATGCAAAAAGCAACTACACATTGTTTGTGCGATGGTCAATCCTCATGTGGGGAAGGATCATCCCCTTAGACCAACGACCAAAACGGTACGGAACTGTGGCGACATGCACGTATGGCACGTTTATTAGGGGTTGTTGCGTCGGAACGTTCGTTGAAAGAATACCGTTTTACATCAGTCTGAACCATCTTTCGTGTATGTCTAAAGACCTATCGGTCGCGCTGTATATGCAAAAAACAGTGCATCGCAAAAAATCCCCAATGGGATCCAATGGGCTGACATACGACTGTCGAAATTCGTGCTCTGTACGAAGGTGAGCTGGGAAAAATACGTCCCTTTTTTAAAAGGCCACCTCCCCCCGCTGCCGCACTGCCCCTGCGCCGTAAAGGGTCTACCTACTGCCCTTTGAGGCTTTTTTGAGCACATGCGAAGCCGATTGAAAATCAGCACAGGACTGGAGTTGTAGGACAGGACTTGTTGTGGAGATTCACTTCAACATGGGAGTTCTTCAATCTGCAATCTTGGATATATACTCATCTAATCTCATCTATAAATGACAACCAGGATGGTGTAAATCAGAAGCAAAGGACAAGCTGACAAGGAACTAGCCACCAAGAGTAAGGATTCACCACTAGGAAACACACATATGCAAAACAAGCATGAATAATGCTGCTCACTATGACTATGTCTCCTGGGTACGGGTAGGGGCCAATCACTCCTCTTGCATTTGGCAAAGCTCCTCATTATCAATTGATGTTTCTTCATTTATTTCACTAATTTTCAAGAAGAACACACTCGCAAATAGACGGAGTTGAACACACATTAACGAAGACTCTTTGAACATGAGGCGAGCCTATTGAGACTTCAACCAATTGTCGTCCAAACTAGCACTTGGGAATTAACAATTAATGGACAATGTGCATGCTTATTATTAATTACCAAACAAGCACCAGTACACACACTTAAAATGCATGAACACATATTCAAAGGAGGTCGGTTGTTCAAAGTCCTCCTACTCGCACCTGGGCAAATCCTTGTGTGAACAGTTCAAACTCCGTTGACAGGGACACGTCAAAAGACCCAGACTGAAATATGAAAAATAAGGTGGAGCAATGTTCCACAAATGGCTTCTGGCAGTTACTTTGGGAGGTACTGTCCATCAAAAATTAAGTTCAATATTGCAAGACTGGCAGGGGCACACTTTTTGCAGAGATCCTGATCCGACCATCAAAAACCGCTAGAGGGCTGGCCAGCGCAAGCTGCAGAAACACAGCTATCATGTTTGTTTTAAGTCGACAGTAACTATTTCGTGGCCAACAGAAAGTGCGTACTAGCGAGAAAAGACCGTCCGGGATGGTCTTAACGGGACGTCCTTTTTCAGAAACACGTCATGGAATGGTCCAACTGATGGTCCAAACACTTTCGCTTGCCCATCGTTTTTCTCCACTTTCGCTTGTTGGTTCCAACCAACACGGAAGAACCCCGTTCGCTGCCTTTCGCGTCTCCGATGAATCGGAGCAGCCGGAGCGGCGAGAGGAACTCCAAAAGAAACGACTAGAACTCCAAGCAATGCCTAGCACTACATCTGAAAGCTACAACTACACTTGCAAGAGCAAGACCAAGAACAACTAGATCAACAACATGAACCGCTTTGTACAACTCCAACTACGCCAGCAACAAGAAGAACAACAATTACAGCTGGAAAAGAACAAATAATAGTAATAATAAGAACGGCTACATCTCCAACTGCAAGAACAGCAGCAATAGAAGTTAGAACAAACTATACACAACTCCAGCTACAACTACAACAAGAGCAGGACCAACTGCAACTACAACAATCACAACCAACAACAATAAGAATAACAACTACTACCACAACTACAACTACAAGAACAAGAGGAACAACAAAAACAATCACCACCAACAAGAACAACACACATTACCACCACCAACAACAACAACAACAACAACAACAGCAGCCTTCACATCATCATCGACATCCTATGTCATGATCATCAACACCACCATCCGTTCATGCTTATATACGATGATCGTCGTTGTCATCCTCGTCATCAACAACAGCAGCCAAACCATTGCCAACGGATCCGCCACCGCCTCGACTTCACCTGCCCGCGGGGAACCGCCGACGCAATGCGGGCCCCTCCGTTGTTTGGGCGGTTTAGACAACCCGAAGAAGACCAACGAAAGCAAAAAAAGAAGAAAAGGATCGAAAACGCAACGTTGAAAAGGCCAACGGGACCAAGAAAGAGAAGAAGGGCTGCCAAAATAGAATGGGTTCAGCCACATTGATAACTAAAATCAGTAGGGGCCAACCTCCTACCTTAAACATCCTCAAACAATCCTGCTGTAATGAATTACGTGACTCCAACTCTGGAGTGCTTCAGAACAGAGCCAACATTTGCCAAGAATATCGTGTAAACCAACACTATCTAAACTGCATTTACATCCCATGTTACAGTAGTATGACCTCCAATTGGAGATATCAAAGCCCCAATCTAGGATCGCATTGGTCGTCCAAGTGCAGCAAACATCTAAGAAAGAAAGAGAACACTTCTGGAGAGATCACGGCCCGAGCAATTGCTCGTATCACCGTTAACCCTGAGTTTGAGCATTTTTGAGGTTTTTTCGCGCTTCTGGTCCAACAAGACTCAAACTGCATGCTGACCTGGAGACCCCATCCACATCCCAACGGCCGCGCGACCTCCTCTCCGCCGAGCGTTCGTTCGTTTGCCTCGGACTCCTCAGCGGGGCACGCAATGTTCCCTGGCGAGGCAGTTGATGATAGCACTGCCTGCGAAAAGCTGCGGAAGGCTCGGTAGGTCGAAAGGCTCGAAGGGTCGAGTTCCAAGGGTTACGGGAACCGAATTGGGCGGATGGGATGGGTGCCTCCCGACATGCCACCGTGGCATGTAGTAGGCAGAAGAACGTCTGGAGCACGAAAGCATTTTACAGGAGGGGTGACACCTGAAACGGGCAAACCTTCAAACATGGCATTGCTGCGCAGAGGTCCCCCTGAATATTTCTGCACGCTGTATAATCATACTTCCAGGAAGGCCGACCTCCCCACAAATGATGATTCTGAAGTCCTGGGTCTTGACTGCAAGTATCTTGGAGACACTGACCTCTTCACATGGGAGAAAATGTCAACATCCTCTTCCTATCTCTTCCCGGCATGCCGGCAGCGTTTTCTATCAGCTTCAATTCCACATCTTGGGGGTTCTTTGTCGTGTCGCTTGACGTGGTGTCCCCAATGCGGCTTACGGCTTTGAGCACTCCCACATGTTTTACACAAGTGATCAAATATCCGGAGAGACCACTGCGACCTCTTGGCGAACATTTCTCGCAACTTCTCGTCCGATCTCGTTGCGGAGCTCTGCAGCTCTGCTCGGGGACCCCGCCTTTGCCGGCCGCGCTTGGTACACATTGAAGGTAAACGTCACTTTTGCCGGAACGCTCGTAGCGCTTGGCACATTTCTCAGCGCTGGTGATCTTGTCGCAGGCCTCAATTCTGCCAAACGCATGTTTCGCTCACCGGGTAGCGCGGTTCAACTCCTCCCAGGATCCTCCTCCCAGACCCTTCCGATTGACATGGCTCCGAAACGTCATGAAAACGATATGAAACGTCGGTTGCTACTCGAATAAAGTTTTCGTGGTGTACTGGATTCTACTGGGCACGGCATCACCAATCTTTTTGCAATCCAAACTGCAAAATCGTCGTCCTGCTCGGAAAGCAACTCACCCTGGCAAAGGGTCACCTGCCATGGTCGGTTAGAACCTGGCTTCACCGGTGTTCGCCTCGGTTAATGATGGGCATTCCCCCCGGCAACACTTCACCCGGGATATTCGACTCAGGACACATGAAGATACGCAGCCGGATGCACAAATCCATAACACGTGAACCCTGCAGCCACCTGTGGCTGGTGTGGACATTATTGGAGCTCCAGCAGCTTTTCTAGAGTGATGATTTCGTGTGTGTAAATCGGAATGTTGGGAATCGCACCGGCTGTCTTTTGAACAGCTCCAAGAGGTCTACTGTACCACATTTGTGCATGAGGGAGGCCATCACTACTAAGACTAAGGCGGAGGCCATCGCTATTAGGGTGGAGGCCCTCGCTATTAGGGTGGAGGCCATCGCTATATTAGGTTGGAAGCCGTCGCTACTAGGGTGGAGGCCATCGCTATTAGGTTGGAGGCCATCGCTATTAGGGTGGAGGCCATCGTTATTAGGTTGGAGGCCATCGCTACGAGGGTGGATTGCTCTCAGGTTGGAGAACATCGCTACTAGGGTGGAGGCCATCGCGTAGATTGGAGGCCATCGCTACTGGGGTGGAGGCCATCGCTGTTGGGTTGGAGGCCATCGCTGTTGGGTTGGAGGCCATTGCTCTTAGGTTGGAGACCATCGCTACTATGGTGGAGGCCATCGCTACTAGGTTGGAGGCCATCGCTACTAGGTTGGAGGCCCATCGCTACTAGGGTGGAGGCCATTGCTCTTAGGGTGGAGGCCATCGCTACTAGGGTGCAGGCCATCGCTATTAGGTTGGAGGTAGGGTGGAGGCCATCGCTACTAGGATGGAGGCCATCGCTATTAGGTTGGAGGCCATCGCTACGAGGGTGAAGGCCATCGCTAATAGGCTGGAGGCCGTTGCTACTAGGGTGGAGGCTTAGGGTGGAGGCCATCGCGATTAGGAGGCCATAGCTACTCTTGTTGGAGGCCATCGCTCTTAGGTTGGAGACCATCGCTATTAGGTTGGAGGCCATCGCTACTAGGGTGGAGGCTCGCTACTAGGGTGGAGGCCATTGCTCTTAGGGTGGAGGCCACCGCTACTAGGGTGGAGGCCATTGCTCTCAGGGTGGAGGCCATCGCGAGTAGGAGGCCATAGCTACTCTGGGTGGAGGCCGTCGCTCTTAGGGTGGAGGTCATCGCTACTAGGGTGGAGGCCATCGCTCTAAGGGTGGAGGCCATCGCTACTAGGGTGGAGGCCATTGCTCCTACGGTGCGGTGGAGGCCATCGCGATTAGGAGGCCATAGCTACTCTGGGTGGAGG